GGAGGCTAAAGTTGGGGGTAAACTCATGAGCAACCCCTGGTAATAGAAGCTTGTGCAAGGGGCATCAGGTCAGTTTAGGGGTAACAGGGCTGGGACACCTAGGGGTTGGCTTCATTTGGGAAACTACCCCCACTGGAAACTACCCCCCACAAATAAAGCTTCCTGAAACAGTGGTACAGCTGTTCCCAGTAGCTCATAGAGCAAAGTTTAAAGTCCTAGCAAGCAGGGCCTTTAGTGCTGCCCCCAAAGACTTTGCCTTAGACTATCTCTCCATCTCTCTAATAGTACTTGAACTTTACTATTTATAATTTAGGTGTTTCTTGTCTTCCACAAGCAAATACAATACTATCCAGCCCCATAAACACAACCTGCTAGGACTGAAAATCCTGTTGCCACCTGCTTCCATTTTTTTGAGATCAGGAAACCAAAGTAGTGATGGGTCCGGCACAGATCCATGGCTAGACCACTTTGCTCCCCTGTCCAGGCACCTGGCCTCTAGTGGGGCTTAAGCTAAGTGAACTGGGAGAAGCCATCTCTCACAGGCCCTGGTTGGCCATTTAGGGTGTGTAGGAAATCCAGCACTGAAGAACCAGTTTGTAGCAAAACCTGGCAGAAATGGTGGGACATTTAACTCAACGAGGCCCGGCGTGCCTTCCTGACACGGTCTCTGAGAGGGACTCAAACCGGCAGTGATGCAGTGCTCATTTTCCAGAGCATAAAGCCCTGCCTGGGATGTTCTTTCTGACCGTCTCACTTGGATGTCTTGCCCTTAGCTTTAAGAGTACAAGGCTGAAGGGGGCGGGTGGGGTGGGGGGGTCCTTCTAGCTTATTCTGTGACCCCAGCACCCAGCAGGGAAACTGAGAGAGATGTGAGCTGAACTGGCAGCAGCAGCAAGGGTGTTTCAGAGAGCTCAGGTGAGAGGACAGGGTGGCAGTTTTGAGAGATAAACTGGAAACAGCCTCCATTCTTACTTACCAGATGACTCACCTTCCTTTAATACCTGGAGCTCTCCCATAGTATTCTCAAACTAGGGGTTTAGATCTTGCTTTCCAAAAGCGTGAGATGAAGTAGTAGGCTGTGATCAATATTCAAAAAGACAACTAGAAGAGAATGGAAATTGTATTGTGGTCAGGATGCAGGTGAGCCACAATCAAAGGGATTTGAGTTGGGGTTCCAAGCAGGCGTCATGCTCACAGAACATCCCAGGAGTGTATCCTGCCCTGGGAGCTCTATGAACGCCAGAATAGGAAGGGCTAAGTGCAGGGTGGAGGAGGAGGTGGGTGCAGAGACAAAACTAAACCCTAGTGGGATCCAACAAAGAAAGGAACTAGTAAAAAACGAGGCCTTTGGGGAGGCTTTACAGAGAATGCTTAGAGTTTGACCTGAAGGATGGCTTGGATTCTGACATCTGGGAAGAGGCCTGTAAGTAATTGAAGATAAAAAGTCACCAAGAAGCATAGGAAATGGTCATACAACTTGGCTTGTTGAGTGTGAGAAGGTAAATTAGATTTTAGAAAGTAATCTGAAGCCCAGCAGAGAGACAAAGTCCAAAAGAGCCTGAAGAAACCTGTGATAACAGCCAACAGATTCAAACCCTGGTGGAGGAAACAGGCCTGCTGCCCCGTCTGTCCAGCATGGGACTCGGCTTTGAAGGTCTAGGTTCGGTTTTCTTCTGGGCCACACTGAGTGTCCAAGCAATGGCTTCGAGGTTCAGCCCCACCTGGCCTGTGTCAGGGCACCGGTGAACATCTGGGGTGCTCTGATCAGACTCTACCCACTCCCCACGGCCCCACCAGATGAGCGAGAACACAGAGGCTACTTCAAAACCCTGGAACCACCACACACTTCCTTCAGTCCTGTCAAGCCTGTCAGCAAATATTTAGAAGGACAGTGACTTCCTGACACTGTGCTTGGTGACTGGAAGTTTGCCAGTGAGGAGACCTCCTTCTTCTGTGAGGATGGTTGTCCATCAGGGTTACTTTCCACTGACAGGCACCGACACCAAAACTCTCCTCCATGTTGCAGCAGACTGGGTTGCCACCTGTGTGCCCTGAGGCCTCCTCATGTTCAGATGGTCTCAGTTAACAAGTGAAGAAACAGCTCCAGAGAGGTCCTGTGATTTGCATAAGGTCATAGAAAACAGAAGGCACAGGGCCTGCAGCCCTGGATCCTTTTCGCAGGATTCCAGGTGTGCAAGTGGGAGAAATCAAGGACTCGCTTCATACCTGTGATAGCAGCAAAGGCAGGCCAACCACTTTTCACTGTGGACTTGACAGTGTTTGGTGGAATTTTCTACTAAACATGCCTGTTCTACTGAGAATAAATGCCTCACGTCTAAGAAACTGCCCAGGAAAAACAAGTGACAGCATTTTAAAACACATGAATAAAAGTCCGTATCACTTTTGCTGGTTTCCCCTCCACTGACCTGAGACCTAGTTTGTTTTTCAGAGTGGATACAAATGCACAGAATGTCTTGTACACCCGCAACTGCTGGGCTAGTCATGCCGCAGGATTCTGTCTTAAACCTCTCTTTATGCTACCTTCGTCTGGAACGCCGACAGCCACATCTTTCCGCTCCTTCACCTTGATTGAGTCAGAAAAGGGATAAACAGCAAATGCTGTTGCAAATATCCATCCAAAATGGTAATTATTGCGTCATTATATTCGCTATTTTACTTGTCATGTACCATTAGGAGGTAACAAGATCATTGTCAGTCAAAGATTGTGGAGATAATTAGAGCATCTATAGGTTAGCAGGAAATCAAATTGGTGCTGCTACCCATCAATGCCGGGGAGCTGAACATAATTAGAGGGAAAATATGCAAAGGTTGAGATGAAGGAAGCCCCAGCGATTAAATACCGTGACTGATTTGAGAGTTTGACTCTCGCACGTTCTGACATTACAGATGGCGACGGGGATATAAGACGCACAACAGGAAGAAGGGACCTGCCAGAAAGAGCCAATCAAGACGCCCCTGCTGTCACATTTGCAAGGTCCCAAGAACTGCCTGATTGGAAAAAACACAGTGTTTAACATGTTTTCCAATCCACTAGTTTTTTTTTCAGCTGTTTCTTCCAGTCTCGGAGTCAGGTGTTAACAAACCAGAGCAGCAGTGAGTCAAGTGGCCTTTATCTGAGCAGTCCCTGCTCCAGCCTGAGCTTTCTCAGCCCACAAGTCCCCCCCACCCCATCCCCCCCTTCCCACTTGCCAGTCCCCTCAGGAGTTTCAGGAGGTTGCAGGCCTCTCTCTGGGCAGATTCTGAGCTCCCAGGGTGCTTCACTTTCACCCCTACTTCCCTACTACAGCCACCCACATCCAAGCTGGGCTGTTTTTGAATGACTTTCTCAGTAAGATACAAACACAAACAGTACTTAGAGCAAGTTGCCACAAGAAGATTTAACAATTTTTACATCTTGACCAAACAAAACAGGCTTTTAGAGGTAGAGCGAGACCTCTGTAGAACAACGAGGGTGATGCCAGGTCACTCCATGGAACAGAATCAGAGACAGGCAGAAAGTTCTGGAAGGCTTACCATGACATACAACTGACTGAACCCACAGACTGATGCACAAAGGAACAAGCAAGCAGAGACTTATCAAATGCCGAACTCAGACCCGTCATCAACACTGACCTTGCTGTTTTGAGACAGGCCAGTGACACAAAGGACACTTACGTCACCTACAAAACTAAGTGCCTCCCCATGACTTACAGGGTTTTGCCTAGAACACACAGAGCAGCCAAAAGCCCGCAGCTGACTGCGGGTAGGGGGAGGCCAGAATGGTTCCAGAGCTACAGGCCGACAGACCCAGGTGGGCAGCCCAGCTGCCCCAGCCAGCCTCGCCTGGGCTCCAGGTTTCTAGCGTCCAGCCTCGCGGGGCTGGCTCTGCCCTAGGGTAACGATGGCCATCTCACACAAACAAGCAGCTGGAAGCTTAGTTCACATTTTTTAATAACATGGCACAGTTTACATTACACAAGAAGGCTCCGCCGATGAGAACATGCTGAAGATTCAGTCGCTTCACTTTTCTTTTCACATAGGATCTAGAAAGGACTTTATTACATACAGGATAAACAGCAAAAAGGTCTGTATAGAACAATCTCTTTACAATACTGAAAGCTACCACTACAGTTCCAGTGTACATATTCCTTGGATTTTTTTTCTTTTTAGTTGTCGTCTTTAAAAAAAAAAAAAAAAACACTGCACAACATCTGGAGTTCACAAAATCTGAAGCTCACAACTAAACCTTCAGTTTACTACTAAAATAGATCTCTCTGCTTATTAGAAACAATGGTCTGTAGTTAACTTTTTTTTTTTTTTGCAAAAACAGGATAACAACGTCAGATAGCACTTTAATATACTAGAAGACCAAATGGAACTAATTTTATTTCATACATATATTTTACAGTCCAGTAGACAAGATATATTGTATTTCTCTGCTAGTAAAGTCATATTCTCTCCAAATATGTAGACAAGAGGCTTAATGTATTATAAAAGTATTATGAAGAGACATTAAGATTGATGCAAACTTAAAAACACACGCATACACAAGACCTTGTCTCTGTCACTTTCATTCTCTGTAACTCTCCATGGCTCCACAAGTTTGACCTGCTACGGTTATTCCCAGACTTTGTTACCAACTAGAATAGAAGGAGTCACGTCAGGAACGTGTGCCCTACACTTATCAGGTATTGAATACAGTGAAAACATATCCATCATCTGAGAAAACACGAAGCTTTCTTTCAGGATGTGTTTGGGTGGAATTACATCTCATTACAGAACGAGGAGGTGTGTACAGATGGGAAAGAGGACACACTGGAAGGCATCTTCCCACATGAGGTGTGTGTGAAGTCACGTGACTGGTGGCAGGATGCTGGCGACCTGGCTGTGTCCCCTGATTCTGGCATCTGACCACTCCCATCCTCCCTGGCACTGGTTGCTCATGTCCTCGGCTACCTTTCTGGGGCTGCACTCTTCTCCCCCCACCCCCCCACCCCCAACCCGAGAGCCCACAAGCAGCAACTTCAGATGCAAAGTTTCAGCCTGGGGTCCAATTTGCAAGATCGGATGTTTCTCCGTTTGAAAAAACAAGCAAGGAAAACAGAGTCATATCACGTAAGCGCTTGTTCAGGGAAAATATGACCTTAAGTATGTTGTAAATGGATTTGAAAAGGCTCCTTTGAGTTAGACGGGCTTTTGTGAAAAGCCCTAACATTCATTGCATAGTTGAAGGGTTTAGCTGTCTATAACAATATATGGGAACACAGCCGTGGAAGGCTGTGTTCACTGATATTAAGTTTGCAAATAGCACATTTTAAGAAGTATTAATGTATTATGTTACTTAATCTTTAGCTATTTACATTTGTACAAAGTAAAGCTTTCATCTTACCCTTTGCATATATGAACCATTAGCTCATGAAGCAATCTCTTTTTACATAACTATATACACGGCCTTCCCTTCGCCTCTGAAAGAACTCTGCATGGCGGACCGAGTGGCGGCTTCCCCCGCCCTCCCCACTATCACCAAATTGGTGCGTGTTGTCATATTCACTGTTTTGGTTCAAATTGAAAAGTTTTATACGAGAGACTAAAAGAGTAGGAGACATGAGAACTTATGACTTGGCTAAAAGACCTGAAAAATTTCAACTTATAATATACAAAAACGTTTCAAAATCTGCACCGAGTCTATACATTTTTTACAAGGGGAGGAGCGGGGCTTCTCCCTGGCAGTCTGTGCGGGATATGGGAGTTCTCTCATGCTCGCTCTTCTCATTCTTGCCGGTATGTGGGTGTAGGGTTTCCTCTTCGTGTCCTGTTCTTTTCCTTATCGAGCTTCAATATCCTTCAGGGTGTGAGAAGGAGGCCTCTCCCGTATCTCTGCGGACAGAGGAGTAGTCCTTCTGGGAGAGACAGGGCGCCCTCCCAGTGTAGAAATGAGTGGGGGAGGCGCGCTCAGTGCTGCCGTCGGAGGGGTCTTGTTGAGGAGTCCGTTCTGGTGCCCCGTGGTGGGGCTGATTCTGGGATAGTGCATGCTGGGGAGTCCCGGCGTGATGAGGCTGGGGTGGGGCAGGTGTCCGTCGAGGGAGGCAGGGTGCACCGAATGGAGCCGTGTGTGCTCATAGTCTTCTCTGAGCATGTGCAAGCGCTCCCGCTCATCCAGGTGACCCCCTCGCTCGTGCTCCCGCCGCGGGTCCACAGACAGAGGGGGGTGGTGGTGGTGGTGGTGGTGGTAATCGTGAGGCTCCCTGTCCCTGAAGGAGCGATCGGCTTCATAGAGCCGGGGTGTCGAGAGACGGTGGAGAGGGTCGTTCCTCAGCAGAAAGTCCCTGCCCAGTGGGTCTCTCCGATGAATGTCAAGTTCTCGGTAGGGGTCCCTCAAAGGGTCCCGTATGGGGTCCCAGTGGAAAGAAGGATATGGAAAGCGCTCTCCGCCTGGGATGGGGCTGATGCCCATGAAAGGGGTCATCATGCGAGTCCTGTCCAGACTGCTGATGCTGTTCATGGGATGAATGCCCGTCACCCCCACCGTCATGGGCATGGAAGCCAAGGGCCCTGGGTGCACACCGGACGAGGAGTTTGGAGGCGGCGGCTCCGAGGGCCGGTGGCTTGGGGGGGCCTCTGGAGGCAGGTCATGGTCTTCCTTGCGCTCCTCCTTCACTTTGACCTCTGAGCTCTTCTTGGGGTTCTCGTAGGCTGGCTCGTTCTTGCGCTGCTCTGCCTCACGGCTCGAGGTGCTGTTGGGCCTGGCACTCTCCACTACGGGGGTCCGCACGTAGGGCGATGGCACCCGGGCCAGCTGCTTGGCCTCCTCCCCCACGGATCGGCCCTCATGGCTGTGGCCGTCCTTCTCAGGCAGGTGGCCCTCCTTCGCCTTGTGCTCATCGGCGGTCAGGTCTTTACGGGACTCCGAGTGGTCTCTCTCCCTCTCTTTGGATTTGTCTTTCTCTCGAGCCTCAGTGTTCAAATGACCCCTGATCTGCTCAGCGGAGCTGCGGTTATGTCCCAGGGTGCCCACCGGGAGGAGAGGTGCTGGTGAAGGGTGGCTAGAGTGTCTTTTCTCAACGCTTTCCCTGAGGGAGGAAGAGGGAGACAGGAAGCAAATGAGGCTCGTCGGTCTGGCACAGGGCTGCCAATGAAATGGTGGTGTGAAAAGGACAGGCTTGGGTCTGCTTCCCTCGGTCCCTGAGGCAGCTGGGCACGCCCTCTGTAGGGCGAACCAGCTACCCTGATCTTACTTTCCTAGACTTGAGAGGAAGCTTTCTGGGAGTGAAGTGCTAGGGATGAGGATGAGTGGGCGAGTCTGAGGGGGAGAGAATTCTCTCTGTATTTAAGAGTCACATGCTCAGTCAAGACCCCAGAGAGCCAGTTTCCAGAAAGCTGGGATGGACTGGAGTGGCTGTAAGTCAGTGATGGGGCAATGTGGCCCATCTTGTCTAGATTCTCAGGATGGCTTAGTGCTAAGAAGGTTAAGAGCCCAAATGTGAACGTGAACATGACTTTCTTCCTACTTTGTAATACAGAACCAGTGGAAGGAAGACCTGAATATAAATATTACAGGGGCTCTTCTCACCTGTCTCTACAGAATTTGGATACAGAGTCATCGCAGAAATGTAGCATGTGAAGGGGGTTGAAAGGCAACCACCATGTTGGCACTTTTGGGTAGCAAAACAACTTTTGGGAGGTTAAGAATTCCAAAGTCTGATGAGAAGATGGAGACAGCCGTAGGAAAAGCAGGGGCACAGACACACGAGCTTATGGGGGAAACAGAGAACAACTTTAAAAAGCATCTGTGAATGAAAATGTGAAACAAGAACTTGACAGTCCCGTCTTGGGCAGAGGCTTAAGAACATGGGGTAGAAACAGCAAAGGCACAGAAAGCCAACCAGGCAAAACTTCAAGGGTTAAGACTAAGAATCAGGCAAGTCTTAGGGGCAGTCCCAGGCAGATTCGGCCAAGGTGGGCGACGAGCAGGAACAGCCAGGGTCTGCAGGCAAGGAGAGGCCTCTAGTAATCTTGTTTCTAGTCAACATGCAAAGGCGGGGAAGAAGACTGTCTTTAAAATATGAGACTACCCAAAAATATATTGTACGAAGTTTCCCACGTTTAATCTAAGAGGCCATTTGATTCCATTGAGAAGAAGGTTTTTGCCACATCCTGCGTTCTCTCCAGACTTAGTGTTTCAGGTCTAGGCTAAGCCCACCTCAGTGTGCCTCACTTTGAGGGTTCACAGCTCTGGGCTGAATGTTGCACACAGTCCTCAGTATGATTTGTATCATACCGCCCTGTAGGAAAATTTGTCTTTTTCTAAGAAAGAAATCAGTAAGCATGATGGCCAGTGGTGAATATCTACTAATCAGTCACATTTAGTGCCTGCAAAGTTGAATTCTTTTAAATCACTAGATACACATATATACACACATACATGCAATATACACAATAAAGAAAAATGGAAAGATCTGGGTCATATTTGAGTCTCAAGCACCAAAAGGAAACTGTTACTACGTCTTTACTGTTAAAGCTTATCTTGAGTAATCCTTGCTTATCGGTTTGTTCAACATGGAAACAGACCACAGAAAGGGTGGGGGAAAGCTACTTTGTCAAGAATGCTTATGACATTCTTTAAAAAAATACTTATAGGACATTTTCCTCTCTTAGTCTACTTCTTTTTTAGGCCTGGGTCAGAGATAAAAATGGTTAGTAAGATTAGTTCCCAACTAGCAAAAACAAAAATACTCAAACCAAAAATACTTGTTGACGTTTCTTTGTGTCTAAGTTAGCAAATTTTTATGAGTGATCTGTAGGCCCAGGATTTAAGTTTGAACAACATTTGAGAAAAATGATGAGAAAATGCAAACATGACTTTCTAAAAGAAAACAAATGGAAAGAGGAAAGAGAGAAAAACCTATGGATGATGTAATGGACTGCACAGACCGGAAAGCAAACATGGTATTGATACATGCTGTGTGTGTTTGGTCCAAAGCTCCGACTCACTACCTTTCAGAGCAAGATGTATATTTGGGTGCTCACAGGGACTCCGGAGACTCTGAATGTGCAACGGCTGCTGTCAGGGACCTTCCGCTGCACTAGCCTTCTAGTCTGTGGTCATGATGCACTACGTACGGGCCGGGAGTATGCCCTCTGGGGCTGGGGGCCTGGGGGCTAGGGCGCAGGCGCTGGCCCCGGCTGTGGGGGAGCTGCGCTACAGTGCCAGCTGCAGCACAAGGCTGGGACCGGGAGGATGAAGGCTGCTGCGTGGCACAGAGGGGGCTCCCCCATTGGGACTCGAGAGCAGTTTCTTTCCGTACCTTTCTTTGTCATCTTTACTAACAGATGAGTCTCGTTTATCTACATCTCTATCTCTGTCATGAGCTGCAGCGGACGCGCTACGCTCCAGCTCCCCTGGCTTCAGCCAGGGCGGAGGGGTCGGGAACGACGGAGGCGTTCGGTGCAGCCGGTTCCAGGGTTCGTGAGGGTTGCTAAAGTTCTGCACACTGGGGCCATCCTTGTGGCCGAACATTGAGTTGGGTGCTGAAATGGTGAAGTGGAGAACAAAAAGGTTTAAGAGAAATTATATAATCTGCTGTAATGAAGGTACTTACCAAAAAACTTTTAACAGCATTCAGAGTTAAAATGAATACATATTATTGGGAGCTGGAAAAGGAAAGGAGATTAACAAATTCATTAGAGGAACGCTTGTCCTACACTGGAGAGGTAGCTCACAGTTTTTTTTTTTTTTTTTTGCTTTTAACCAAAGGTAAAGGGATAGGGGGAGAGATTAAAAGGGAAAGGGACCCAACTGGCTTGAGATGGCCTAATGGACACCTGGTCGTGAAGAAGCCCCAAGCATGCAGAAGGGCGGACTCTGGCATGAGGCTCACTGCATCATGCTCCCTTCGGAACAGGGTTCTCCTCTACCCAGCCTGCTGATGTGTGGGCAGGCTTTCTACAAGTTCAGCAGACTACGACCAGGGTCACTGGAGACCAGACAGGGCCTTGTCCTAACACAGGTTTCCTCACTAGATGGAGCTGCAATGGTCCTAAGTTGCATATTCGGTGACTAAATAATGTTTAAAACATGAGGAGGTGCTGCAACTCTTTTCCTGTGGACAGGCATTTTCATAGTAAGAAACAGCATGGGCCTCACAGACTATACAGAGGATAATCTTGACTGTCCTGGCGGGGTATTGTTCTGTTACTCCTCACTTTTTTTTTTCTCCCCCGGCCCCACAAATGGCAAAAGCAACATGAAGTTTTAAAGTTGTTTTGCTTTAATGGGAGCTGTAGCTGAAGTCTCGGATGTAGAGATGGAACATGGATGAAACTATGAATGTGAGCCAAGTCTTCGTTCAGTCAACTCTATTACCTTTCTTGACCCCTCAGCACCAAAAACTACCCATAGGCTGCCCTTAACACTTTGATTTTGGCACCCTAAACTCCACTTTCAGGCTTCCTTTTGCCATGATACAACCTACACTTGTTTCCCTGGAGCACGGTGTCTTTTTGTCTAGAAAGATCTTGAGCAATAGACAGGTAAGAGAAGACAGACAGTCCAAGGCAGATTTTTAAAAAGTTAGAGATACTCACTAACTGAAGGGTTCCCAAGTCCCCCGAAGGCATTGCCGCCAACTGCTGCGAGGCCCGTGAACGTAGACGGCCGATTAAAAGGCTCTGCAAACGAGATTGCGAAGGAGGAAAGGGTTGCAGGACACTACTGAGGGCCAATGTGAGACTTCCTGGCAGTCGGGAAAAGCAAAGAGGGGCCTTCGCCTTCCCTGAACTCAGCCCTGATCTGTCTCACTTTCCCACCAAATGATGTAGTAAGTTTTTCTTGCATTTGGGTTTGGGCATTGGGGTCAGCAAATATTTATGAGAGCTATTTTTCAGTCTGTGCCCACGGCCCCACCCTCCTTTTTGGAGTGGGGGGCCACAATGCTCTAAGAGGACCCGCCACACAGCTGCCCCCTTCTGGGAGTGTGCACTCTGGGCTCTCAGGGAACAGAAGGAATACTGACATGTTAAAATACAGCTCTCGATGACATTCTGAAGTTACATGTTTTATACGCTGCTGTGCACACCACTGTCTGCATCTGTTAGAACACTTGCAGAAAATACCAAATAAAAAAAAGGCTATGTACCCTCCCTGATGGCACAATGGGTTAAAGCATAGCACTAAAAAAAAGGCTACATATAAAGCATGCACTTGTGTAGGAAAAGACATTTACAGAGCTGTGAAATATGAAGTGCGCAATGTGAAGTGACTAAAAATCACTGGACAATGTCTCATCATATCATCTTGCCTTTCTTCCCACCTCCAGCAGGTACCCCTAGATATGGGACAGGAGCTCACTACTGTTCTCCAGTGGAGGAACAGGCTACTGCACAGGAGGACATCCTGAGGTCCCAAGGCACAGCCTTCACCCAACACACCATCACTAACTGGATCACTGTCACCGTCAGCAGTGACGGAACTACTCCTGAGCACAGATATTCCATTTTAAGAAGGTGGCATAAGATGTGCTGAAATCCTGAGGATGCATGGTACGTATTCAGACTTCTACAAGAACATCTCATTTCCCTAAGAAGTAAGTGGGGTTTCTAGCACTATGACCACCTTGCAGGTCATTTCCCATTACTGATAGGTAACTCACCTAGGTGAGCAGCAGGGTTAAGGAAATTGCTGTGATGAGGAGGCGGCCCAAAGGGGGTCCCAGTTGGGTGTGCAGCACCTATGAAGTCAAACATAAAAAAGTCACATTTCACAGGGAGCCGTTTTCTACAATGCAATAGGACTCCGACTTGCCCAAGGTCCCCAGGAGAGAGTATGTTAGAGTAAAAATGGGAGGCGGGGTGGTGGTGCAGGTGGTACAGCGAGCACAAAGAGCTGCTATCAGGAACAAGGAAACCAATCACTCCTTTTCCTCTTTCCCACACTGGACTGGCCATCACCCAAAAAGAGAGAGTATATTTCTAACATGCTGACATACAGTATGAGAACACATGCAAAAAACAAGGTTGAGGGTGTTGGGGGTTCTATGACCAAGCAAGGTGGGGAAAACGGCCAGGCAAAAAAGTGTTAAGGGCTCTTGCTGAAGGACTTCTTGGAACCAGCAATGTGTTCCTGGGCCCGTGCATCCACTAAGAGGCAACGTTTGGTTGTGGGATACTTTCTTCAGAACGCCCTGGGAATAAGACTTGCTTTGAGAATCACAATTCCAGAAACTGTGCATCTTATAATCCTTGGCTTAGGAGTAACTGTCATGCAGATGCACATCTGGGCTACACGGCTGTGAGCCCTTGCAGGGTCCTTTTTCCTGAAGAATGTGCTAGTTGCCATTGAAGAATATCTACCACCTGTTCCTTGGGAGATCTAGCGCTGTGAGTCACATAGGTTATGGGAGATGAAGGCTTCCAATTTCGTACAATCTTCAGTGTCAGGAGAAAGCAGCTCACTCGTTTCTGGACAACCTTACAGCCAACTCCATCAGTCTTTATATTACCTGCCAGGGAACTGAGCTAATAACTTAGTGGTCTTCTCTCTTTTGGTTTTTCCTTTATCCACATTCTCTCCTTTTTATCTCTCTACTTTGCCTTCAACAGTAAATGTTTCACTATGATGTTTCAAATTCCTTTTTGTAAAGGAACGAGGAAATGACAGAAACAGAAAGGGTACATATGTGAGTGGCGGCTCAGGGCAGAACGCTGGCTTCTGAATACGAGGCTGACAGCTGAGGCGGGCAGCTCTCTGGGAGGCAGGCTTGATTCTAGGCAAGAGATGGGCCACCGTCTCTGGAGAAGTTCTTTAGTTTCAGTCACTAGTGCCCAACAGCAAGATGAAAGTGACTGAACTAAATAAATAAGTGTGTGTAAATTATACACACCAGTATACTTTTACCAAATAATTATTTCCCACAAAATCCAATGTTGCTCACTCTGTAAAAGATGACCTTTTAGAATGAAAGTAGGAAAGAGCCTTAATGAATTTTACTAATTCCTGTTCCATAATCCCTTGTATTCTGTCTGGGTTCCTATAAACAAATATCAGTTCCTTTAGGACAGTAGATTAAATGGAGGGCCATTCCTCGATTCCCTATCGACTCCAGTTGTCTAGAAATCATTCCCTGAGCTGCAAAGACTGGGGGCCTCGGTTGAAGAAGCCCTTAGCACAGGTGAGCATCAGCAGAAGCATAGTAACTCAGGACTGGAAGGCACCTGAGGAGTTCAATCCTAGAGGGAGACTTAGGTTCCACCCGGCAAGTGCAAAAATGATACCCTCCTTCTCCACAAAGTGAAAAGAGCCCAGCATATTCATTAGCTGCTAACAGTGTTGCCAGCTAACTAAAAATTTGGCTGCATGCTGTCTGTGTAGTACAAGCTAATTAATGCTTCGATGAAGATCAGAGCTCCGCTCAGCCCAGGGCCCCTAGGGGTGCTTTGCAGTTCCAGAATTATCGAAGCAAAAGCAGCCAATTCATCTGCTTGGCTCAAACAGAAGCCAGGGAGAAATCTCTCCATTTCTCTCCAAAAATTGCTCTTAATGTAGCCCTCTCTCAGAGCCTAGGTGCCATGGAAACAAAGCCTTCAAATATGTCCCTAGACGCAACTGAGAGAGGAAAACCTGAGACCTTAGCAAATTCTGTCTACCGTCAAGGGTGGTTCACTTGCTCTGGCAACGAGCCCCTCATAATGACGGTTTCTTGTCATGTGGGTGTTTCTCTCTCGCTGAATGGAAGAGCCTTAGGGCCACCCAAATAAGCACTGGCTAAAAGCCTAGGAAGGCAGGAGACAGAATGGATGTGAAACTTGTTCCCAAAGGATGGGAAACAGAGAGCTCCTGGAATGTTTATGCAGAACAGAATACATTTTAGAGAAGTGGATATGAGCTTTATAAAGCCGTGTCACCATGTCTGAGTTTACGAGGGCACCCAGTACACCAAAAATAGCTTCAGAAACGAAAGGAAGCTTCAATACTAGGAGAGTCATTCTTGTTGCCTGCCCATCACCGCCATTTGTGGTCAAGTATGGAGCAGAACAGGCGCTGTCTGATGTAGAGCACCAGGAACTGCCCCACTCCTGCCCCGACACACTCTTTCACACCAAACAGGTGCTTGGGAGCATGTATTCTCAGAAGTGAGTCCATCTTTTGGGTGTTCTGGGCCCTGCTTCCTAAATTTCCTGCATCACTGCAGTCAGCCCAGCAGTATTAACTCTGTAGCAGAGAAACTGGCAGCTAGCCGGCTCCCTGCCCTGTCACACGCCCCACCATGCAACTGACTTGACTGCACTTCTTTGTCCTCAGGACACAGCATGGCCGAGTAGCCTGATTCCGAATTACCGAGTGCTGTGTGGGCACCACCAGAGAGGCAGCCGCATCCTTACCCCGTTCCTGGACTTCCAAGCTTCTTGAACTTTCTTAATAGTATCTGACCTGCTTGTGAGTTACACTGGTTTATACAGAAGCAAATAACCAGCTGAAACAATATGGGTGCCCTAAGGGAAAGAAGATCTCTTTTCCTTCTTTAATGAAAGAGGGAACATCAATGAAGTAGTGAGAAGCGTCCAGCTCCCAAGATGTGCTATGATGTTGCTGTAAACTGGCATAAACTATACTTTTTTTGTAGGTAGCAGCAGCCTAGAGCACAGACATCATTTATTTAATGACCTGAGAACTGAATTTCTCAACTCCCCACACCCTCTCTCCACTCACCAGCAGCAGAGAACAAAGTTGAAGGCCGTGCCAGGTCATGGGGGTGGTGGATGGCTCCAAAGAGACTGGGGCCTGGGGGCCGGCTCAGGAACTCAGGCTTCAGTCCAAAGTCCAGTTTATGTGGGTCTGACTGCATCTGTTTCTAAAGCAGCAAGGGGAAAAATAAAAGATGAAACCCCAAAAGGTACAGGAGGAAAAAGATATTAATGAAGAGTTGAGACTGATAAAACTGAATGGGCACACTCTGGCTCTGAGCCCTGGAAGGGTTCAAGGCAACACATGTTCTGAGATCAGCAAGCCACAGACCACTTACCCCTCAAATGCCAAATAAGCAGGTCAAGCCAGGAGGGCTCAGTGCGCTGCCACTAGGCAGCACCTGTTTCTCAGATCAGAAATGTCAAGTAGCAAAAGGAGTGCTCAGCCTGAGGTAATACGGTTGGGGGAGTGAGACCATGTCCTGTTTATTTAAACTACCATTACATTGGAATAGTTTATTATTTACCGTAAAGGCCTATTTCAGCAAGTTTTTAAATGATGGCATTTTAAAACTCATTTTATTAGGAATTCTGCATGAATAATCTGCTCTGTAAATTAATTGTTTAACGACTCTTTACCATGCTCGCACAGATCACAGTACATTAGTAACTGAAAGTTATGAAGAAATATTTGCATGCCTACAAGCTAGTTTTCCAATGTACATTGTTACATATTTCTTAAAAAAACAAACAGGATATTAATTTAACTAATAGGGGTCTCTTTTTTTTTTTTCTTTGCTTATTATCACCAATTACCTGGGGAAGAGGCGATTAGTCCAGACCAGCAATGTAACAAGAGCCTCTCTCTCACTTTCCTCCAAGCTGCAGGCCTCTCAAATGACCTGGTTTCAACCCCACCCCTTCTTGATCTCAACAACATTCTCTGAACCAGCGCCTCCCACCCACTCCCCACCCCCAGACAAGCATCCCAGTGTGGCATGGGCTCATAATTTCGAGTTTCCCTCCCCGTCCTGTGCTCAGACTCCTATTTCTTCACACCCCTTTCCCTGCTTCTGGCTCTCCCTCTTTCATTCTCTCAGTCTCAACACATGCCCCCTTATTAATCCACTTCAAACTGCTTACTTTCTGCTCTAAATACACCCTGGCCCCAGTATACAGCAGAGAAAAGTCAACAAGGAGGCATCTGACCTAGCTACATGTGGAGCTGAGAGATAAGAGGTCTGTCGCTCTGTCTTGGCTCATTCATCATACTCATTTAAAGTGAAACCTACCTGAGCACCTCAAAGCAAGCCCCCTGACAGCAGCGCAGCCTTTTCTGCACACACACACTGATCCTCACCCCTGAAATCCAAGCAACTGGACCACACACCACAAGAGCCCTCTGAACCGGATCTTGTAAATATCCTACAGGCAGTGGGCTCTCGCAAGAAATACTTAGAGAGTGACTAAAAGAATGGGTAACTGAATGTTAAGGAGAAAGGGGACAATGTAATTTCTGCTCACACCTACAGGGAATACTATCATGCAAGTCCCACTATAAAGTTATAGCCAAACCCCCAAACAAAGCTTCTAATTCACTATAAATCTATAAAAATCTTTTGAGTGCCTCCTTTAATTTGGTCGCCAAATAATTTAGTGCTAATATTTCACGGTACACAGCACAGTTCCATTAACCACAACTTAGGTCCATGAAGCAAAATGGAGCTTGGGGATTGCAAAGAGTTTGCTGGAAAGGGAAGATGAACAGCTATCTCATATGCAAGGCCTTTCTAATTGAACTGGGATAATGAAAGTTTTAGTCACCAGGGACCCTTTCATGGAAAAGAAGTTGCTAAACTGGCACATACAACATTCCTCATTGCTTTTAACCAAAGGAGGACATGTCTTTACCTACCGTTCTGCTAATCACATCATCCAGAACCAAAAGTGAATTGAACTAAGCATCAGAATCTAGTTAGCTCTTCAAAGCACATATTCTCTAACTGAGCTAAACCCTAAGATTTCTAATTAAACCTCACCTAACAATAAAGTAGAGGTGAGCAAAACTCACTGATGGGAAGGGATAAAGTACTGGGCATCACAGCAAAATGCCCGGGCGACCTCATTTAGCAGGGTTGGCCTTTTTAACCATTTTTAAAACAACAACAACAAAAGACCCCATCTATGATGCCTACTTCTCCCTCCTTGTTTATGAGCTTCATTTATTATTCTCGCAATGGCTCCCCACATGCTGTCAGGAGTAAAACTGTGGTCATGAAACAAATGACTAGCTGAAGCTTACTGGAATACCTGCCTGGTCGTTCTAGGCACACCTCAAGGAATGTGAGTACCGGACAGAAAAGTTGGACTTGCCAGTTACCGGTGTGGCTCGCTATATTGTGCCCGGCTTTATTTTGGGTTGAAGGTGCCTTTTTATAAACTGACGGTTTGGGGCAATCCCACGTCAGGCAAGTTCATTTACTGGGGCCATTTTTCCAGCGTGTGTGCTCGCTGCATGTTGGTGTCACATCTCATTACTTCATGCACATCACTGATTTGTAGACATCACACCACTGTACACTTAACACATCACACTGCAGGATAAACGACTTTCAGATGTCCTAGGAGATCAGGACATTCACATGACTTGATTTATAGTGCTATCCGTCCCATGTGCTGGTCTGGCACCACCCTGCAATACCTCCCAGCTGTGCCTGCATTGTTCCCTAAGCCAAATGTGGATGCTCATCTGGTCGCCTACTGATAGTTTAAGATCTCTTCCCTAAGTTGTCACAAAGGACTTGTAAAGCAGTCCTCTCTATGAAAACATACACACAGAAGAAAAACCATCTGTATCCAGGTAGGGATCTGACCAGAAGCTGCATTTTAATTCCTGGCACTGGTCATCAGAAGACCAGTGAGTGTCACTAGGAAACTCACTGGCCATCACAAACTACTTCAAGAAGACTATTAATAGTATGTGTTAGGATGGAGAGTTTTCCCCCAATACTAAATGTTTTCCATAATACTACCTAGATTTTCAAAATTGTTACTGTGTAATCTGTATATAAGACTTTTGGGTCAATAAGACAATAGAAATCATTTAAAAAAAAAATTGAGGGGGTTTGCTTGTGTCTTGTCATTTTGCTGGTCAGTTTCCTAATTGACCGTTAAGATTTCTGAATAGCTTTACCGAAAGGGACTTGATGCTTCCTGCCTATGTATCTCCTTAAGTGGAGATACCCCATTCCCCATTCGCATCTCTTCGACTGGAGGGAAGACTGACCTTGACTTTCTGTTGGTGGTGGTAGATCTGCCAGGCAATGTGAACATGCATAGCACACCACTTCCCTGGTTTCTGGAATAAGAAAGAGCAATGTGGTCAGAAGGAGAACCATGCAGAGAAAACCACCTTCAATTTCCCCCAAAGCTTTGATCAGATTTTGGCTACAGAGGTTTTTTTATTCAACAAGAGAGCTTTGTACCCTCCAACTGCTTTTTTCTCAGCTGTTTCTAGAGTCTGGGCCCGAGGGAGCCCCAGTCAGCCCCCCTCCTCCTACAGGAGCCTGAGCCAGTGCCTACTACTTAGGGAGCCATACTCGAGGAGACTTCCCTGGTTACTAAGGACAAGATGGCAAAAGCCCAACCCCCACTTTGTGTCTCTTCTCTTTTTCTTTTCTGATGCCAGCTGGCAGACCTGGTAGAGTGGGAAGCCCTGCTTAACAAATGCAGCCATGCTATAATGCAAATCAGCTGTTCAGAAGAGCTAATTAGCCAATGTCTGCAAATCAATTCAAAACAAGAGAGGGTACAGGACCTGTCATAACCTCCCCCGGTACTGCTTGTTGTTGTTTTAACCCCCAAAGTGGTACCAAGAAATTCACTGCATTTTTATTGAAGCCCAGTTCTCACAAGGGCTTCAACTAAGAGTCAACATCCCTTCCTTTTTTTTAAGAAAAAAAGAAAGGACACAGACAAAAGGAACTTGTTCCTTCCTCCCCAGGCCTCTGCAGATATTAAGTCCTTCCTCTTCCCTCTGGGAGGATATCAATCCATGTCTCTCAAATTATTTCATGTTTTGCTTTAATAGCAGTGGCGTCAACAGTGAGTGTGTTTTGTACCTACATGGCAGGGACCACCTCTTTCTACTTCGTTTGTATTCCTGCTAAGTAATCTATCCCTAAGTGCCAAAGTTGCACTCAATAACTATCGGACAAAGAAGAAATACTGCCCATTCCTATAGTGACCAAGAACAGAAGCTTCTGGTTCTCTATTAAGGAGTTGGTTCTAAAATATGTACTTAAATCCAAATTGGGGCCAGTTATCTTGTTTTGTAATGAAATTATAGGTAATCTGAAATCAGCTAAGTGATAACACAATTCTCCTTTTTATTCTCTTTGGAGAAACTGAATTATCTGATTACATGTACAAGAAGTGGGTTAGTATAGCACTATCCATGCATCTTCTATCCAAATATCCATCACCCTCCCGTCTGCCCCTCTCCTTACCAAGTCAGTCAGCATCTACTCAGAGGTCTTCTGCTGGCTAATCTCCAGACCTCTCAAGATGTAAGGACCATATACTGTAGCCCTTACATACTGTAGGTTGAATGCTTGTGACCAGCCAACATCACTTAGTGCAGAGTGAGGCAACCATTGGCCAAAATAAATAGGCCTACATACATCCTCCTTGGTGCCAGAGAGACAGAAGTCAGGGAAACCCTAAGTTCAGCCTATAGTGTCTTTTCCTTTAAATTCCCTGTAGTCAGGTCTTCTCCCAAAAATGCTAGCAGGAGAATCTACCTCAGTTGAATCTCATCTGTCAGCTCTACCTCAATGACCTGCTTCTTCCAACACTCAAGGCAAAACAATTCAGACCACTTCAATCATGCTACCTAAAAAACCCAACTGGTGTCATTATGACATTTTATTTCAGCATTTCTAAGGCTTGTTTCCTTGTAATGGATTTGTATTTTTAACCTACAGGGAGTCAAATAGAGGTTGCAAAACAGTTCTAGAAGAAGCTTTCTTACCCTTAACATAGGTCTGAAAGGATCTGTCAACTGTGAAGAGAAAATGACAACTTGGTTACATGCCTGTCACTCAAACAATTGCTCTAATTAACAAATTTGTAGTGCTTCATTAGGAGGGGAAATTAAAATGTTAGAATTTTACTTTTAAATGAAGCCCTTTTAGAGAATAATTAACCCATTTTCACACTATCAAAAGTGCCAAGTGTCCCCCTCCCCCACTTCACAAGCCTTGGTACATCTACACTGACAAGCACCCCCCACCCCCAACAAGTTTAATCAATAGCAATTTGCCCTCTGGCAACAGGCTTTGCTGACATTACACATCTGAGGAGTTTCACCATGTTGGACAGCCCTTCCAGACCACACCGCATGGGTCGAAGGGAGAATGGCCCTCAGACCCTTGACTGTTAATGCTGGACAATAATAGATACCTAGGGAAAGGGTCTTCTCTAAACACAGTCAACCAGGCAATCTTTACCAAGACCTTTATTTGATGACTTCAAGGTACTCAACATTTTGAAGAGGTACATACACTAAACACCATAAAAATGCTTACATAGCTGAGTTCTTTTCAATATCCACCTAACTCTGGTGATCAATTTCTGACTGCCCTTACCCAGGGAAAAAGACAAAATTTGTAAAAGATAATCGTTTTTTCACATTTATTATGAAAATAAATGTAAGTAACAATGCGACAAGATTCTATCTGTGGTATAGCTTCAAATTCTTTTTTGGAGTAGGCAGAGGTATAAATTATGAATAAACAACATAACCAAAGCATAATGGATATTTTATTTAGCTCAAGAGTACAAAAGACTCCTTACCACATTACAAGTAGTGGGCCAGAATAGCTGTGTGGTACAGTGACTTCCTGACCCAAGGAAAATGGGGATGTGTCCTGACTTCCAGGAAGAAAAGCACTTAGTGCTTTTCCATTCAAAACATTTTACAGCTACTTCTTTTGTGTGAGAGGAATTTAAGGAGATGGCAACAGAGAAGATCAGCTGAGTAGAAACTACAGAAGCAATATAGTGTCCAGCTCTCAGGGTGAGACTATGAGTCGTTACTCTCCTCTCCCATAGCAAGTCACCCCCCTATGTCAAAGGGCTGCAGGCTGCAGTAGGGCACAAGAGACTTGTTTTCTAAGAGTGGCATTTTCTTCCACAACTAGAAGGAACAGCTAAATCAGTAGCTCATTCAAAGGAGCTGAGAATGGTGGGTGCTCATCCTGGGATGGTCACCCCACACAAACACCCCAAGCATTTTCAGAGACCAAGCCTGACTGTACCTACCCTTGGGTCCTTCTGGAGCAGTGTGTGAGGGACTGTCCCAGGCCGAGCAGCAACATCAATAGGGTTGGATGTCTACAAAGGAATGAAGCCACAGTTGAGGAAGCAAACAGTGACATGAAAGCAAGATCTTTCATTTTAAATTACAGAAGTGAAATGTGTGGGGTTTCTGTTTGTTTCATTCTGGAATACGAGAGTTAACAGGCTCATTTTTTCAGCGATCAGACATGTTCTCCAGGAGAACCTGCTCCCTATTTTCTCAGGGAGCCTTGAGAGAGAGAGACTGCCCCCTCCAGCAAAGACATCTGAAAGCAGAGAGTGAGCTATAGCACATTTTGCTGTAACAGAAAGCACAGGCCGCAAAAAAGAGAAGCCACACATGCAAGCAAGCGCTGCCCCTGAATCCTAGCTCCTACCCAGATGCCGACAGCTCTGACTGTTGTGTGATTTTTGCTTTATCACCAAACATTCCAAGAAATGCTTAAGTGAACATCATTATAATCTGCTGTATCAGGTGCTTCTCATCAGAAGAACTGTGTTCTACAGACATTAAGCAAACTCTCTAAATTTTAAACCGCAGACAATAACAAGGAATAACACTCAGTAATTACTCATTAGCAGAGGTGGAAATGGGACAAGAGAACCTAGTTCAGGGACCACACAGACTGCCTAGTAAATGATTTCTGAAGTAATACTGCTTTATCTTTCCTATTCCCACTACCATTCTTAATATCATTAATAACACTAGTCTTTGCTGTATGCTCTGTCCTATGAATTAACAAGGATCACAACAAAAAGCCTGCTGCAGGCACAAGTAGCCACTACTTTCTAGTGGATAAGAGACTGGGAGAGAATTTCACAGGTATTTTTCTTATGAAATCAGAACTTATGTGAATCCCCTCACACCAGGAAGTTAAGTCATGTGGAAAAAGAGCTCAAGTTTAGGCACAAAAGAGAAGGGGAGAAAAAAAAAAAAAAGAAATGAAAGAAAGAAAAGCAATCAGCTGCTGTACAACTAACAATTAAGCTGGAGTTGTTAACAGCCTGATTTGCATACATATGAAGAACTCCACTAATGAACTGCAATCTACATATTCAATCAGTAAGATGGCCTGGAAAGGCCTATTTTCAACACCAGGAGAGACACTTTCTTGCCCAGATGTAGTTTTCTGTGTGATTGGATAATTGTGAGTGAGGGAAATAGTCTAATTTATTAAATGACCTACCAGTCTGTTTGGGGATGCACTAGAGATTTGTTGTAACCTAAGGGGGACAGACCAGGTTACCTCAGAGGGAGCAGGAAAGAGCATAATGGGTGTGTGTGTGGGGGGGGGGGGTGGTTTAAAATCACCATCATCTCAGCCCCAGCCAGGCATCCAACACGGCCACTGTAACAAGCCGAGTGAACAGACCTGGTGCATAAACTGCAGTTCCACACTGGGAGAGGTGGTTTCTAAGGCACAGGCATCACACTGCTACCACTTTTTAATTTTTTTATCTATTTCTAGTTTTAAGGCGACATGACTTTGGAAGTGCAATGTATGCTCATCCAGGGGAGATCTGGTCCAAAATTGGTGTTTTATTTTAGAAATGGGATGAACCCCCCAAACACAATCTCACACAGCAAATTTTCTACTTTAAAATTTGAGAATGGTTATTAGCCCGAGACATACATTTTGTAGGCAAGTAAAATAAGGGCTCTAGTAGACTGGAAGGCACAAAAAAAGCGTGTTCTGTGAATTACTCCTCAATATTGACCTTCAGTGATAACTCCAGTCCAAGCTGAGTAGAACATCACTAACTAGGTAGAAAAAGAATTTAGTAATTACAAAGGGTAGTAGGTTAATTTCATACTAGGATGTTAGTAACTCATAACAGTCTTGACCTTGGCAAATGTAACCACTGCTGAGGGAT